CTTGAAAAAAAAATTTGGCTTTAACCTACAATATCTCTATAACCATAAATTTCCCAGGTATGGTCCAGAAGAAAAAAATGATCGTCATGATGTGGAAAATACGTGGCCTTCGACTTCGTTATAGGTTTATTTTACACCCTGTATGTTAAGCGTTTATGCCTCTTCTGTTTTGATGTAAGCGTATAAAACAATATTAAACTTACTATATTTCTTTGTTTAAATTCAGTATTTTCCTATAGAGCCTTCCAAAGTGCGGAGGAGCTCGATTTAATAAAATAAGATTTTAGTCACCCATCCAATGACCAACCATTACAAGAGTTGCTTAACTACCACGATCGCAGGCCGAACACGCTAACAACCTGCGCCGACGAGCTCCTAAGTTCACAAATAGCAAATACGAACACCCATGTTGCAAGGTAGCATAAGGTAAACAGGTTTAGCCTAGAGCTACTACTACGCAAACCAGGTGGCCAATCTCCTAACGGGATTGCTATGGCTATCGCTATCGCTTACGATTTCATTATGTTATTACTGACCACAGGTTTTCGAATACCTCACGCTCTTATTCTATAATAAGAAAAATAAGAGCACGAGCTTATATTAAAACAAAAAGTAAGGATCTCAAAAGTGATCCTCTTAAATTGTGGTGCATGACCACAATTCGCTTTAGTCACAATTGGACATTCGAACTCGCTGCATGTGCACTCAGCATAACAATATTGCGTATATTCTGCGTTATAAAGATAAAGCAATGCCTTCGATGCTTTTATAAAGAAGACAAATAGTTCAAATGCCTCGGCAACACTTTTTATTCGTAAAACTGTAAAAATATTTTTTTCTCAAAAACCACGGTTTGTCGTGAATGTTATTTACGTAATCAAGAAAAGGACAATAATACATCTCAACTGTACGGGCTCGGAAGCGTGTGAGTTTACAGTGCCCCTAGCACTAAATCTCGTTAGGCGATTGGCCCCCCGTACCCTAAGCACGAAAGATTATCGAATTCATTGCATTCGAACTATTTTAAACGTCGAATGTGTACTGATTTTTAGTTCTCGCTACGTCCGTTGTGGCGCTCTTGTTTAAGTTTCCATACATAATATGACAATGACATTTCACACTCGCAAACTATTCGAATTCGATATTGGTTCGTGCTAAGGGTACAGTTTGGGCTAAACTGAAAAATTGATTATCTAGCTGGCCCACTAGGCTTATCTAGTCTGGCACACACACAAGACACAAGTCTATTTTTTAAAAACAGTTGTATAGATATACATATTATGTACTATTTTCAGCCATAGATTTGCGAACCTATGCCCCCTTTTTAATAAACAAAGAAACAGCTTGGATTTTTTACTCTATACTTTGTGTCTGTTCATGGAATGACAAGTGGCATTTGAGTGATATGGGGTGTATTCCGAAATATACATCAGTATACTGGCCAGTGGTAATGACGTCACGAATCCGACGCCATTTTGTATACCAGTACTATCATATTTTTACCGGAAAAACGAATATGGCGTATGACCGAGCGTGCGTGAGATGCATTCGAATTTTATTTCTTTTTTTATTTAAAGAACAATAATGGCATCCGAACGAAAAGAATTCCTTTTAATTGATGAGCTGAATAAAAAATCTTCTTTATTCGCACTATTTTTAATATTTCGTCGATTTTTGACGTCAGTGCACTGGCCAATATATTTCGAAACAATTCACCAGCATAGCGGCGATTCATGACGTCATTAGCACTGGCCAGTATACTGGTATATATTACGGAATATATCCATGAACAACACACGGCGTAACTGGTCTAATTCCTTATTTTCTTGATAAGGGGAATGGAGTTTCACAAGTTCTTGTAACAATCTAAACTTAATGAAAATATTGAATTTGACTTGTCTAAAAAAATAGTTTTATTAAAACAGTTGTTTTAAGTTGTTATTATCGATACATTTTATAGACATATAACATTATAACATTTTTATTATGACCCAAAAAATGTGTAAGTGCCTATAAATAATATAATTCTACTATTTATACTAATACAAACATGACTTATACTAGAACATATATAAGTTTACCCTTTATTATATCAATAAACTATATATTCATAATTTCATTCACCTTTTAATAAATAAAATCATATTTTTAAATAAGGAAAACAAAGACAAGTGATGTTAAGTATATAAAAATAAAAAATAAAGTAACTAAAATCGTTTGGAAATAGGAATTCAATACCATTTATATAACATACAATAAAAATAAATGTCAGCCGTCACGGGACGCCTGGCAGATGTGAAACATTGGGTGTATTACGAAATATACATCAGTATACTGGCCACTGGCCAGTGTCGTCAGCCACCACCACCCAGTGGTAATGACGTCACGAATCCGACGCCATATTGTACTGGTATGCTACCATTTGGCTACCATATTTTACCGGGAAAACGGATATGATGTATGACCGAGCGTGCATGAGATACATTCGAATTTTGTTTCTTTTTAATTTTAAGAACAATACTGGCATCCAACAAAAATAATTCCTTTTAATTGATCTTAAATAAAATTAAAAATCTTCTTTATTCGCACTATTTTTAATTTCATCGATTTATGACGTCAGTGCACTGGCCAATATATTTCGGAACAATTCACCAGTATAGCGTCAATTCATGACGGCATTAGCACTCGCCAGTATACTGGTATATATTACGGAATACACCCATTGTGAGTGAAAGAACAGATTGCGATAGGAACTAATTATGGCATAATGATAAAATACTAATAAAACGATTTTTTTCCAGAAAATGATGACTGTTAAATAATAAACATTTATTTTCATTAAATACAAAAATCGAATTCGATTGCAAATGGCGACGCGTCGCCACACCGTACACACTACATCATATAGACTGTAAATATATACAATCATATAGCGTGGCGAAGCGTCGCCACGGCATGAGTCGCCACTCCAGAAATCGGTTTTACGTACACCTATAGATGTTTCACGTCAAAAATACATAGTGTTGAAACGTAGACCTTACACCGTTGACTATAAGGTATTTATCCATGGGCTTTTGTTGCCTGAATATAAATAAATAGGTAAATAAAAATAAGCTTTAACAAAACGCAAACCAATTAAATATTGTAAGACATCCGATTTCGTAAATATACGACAAACTATGTATAAATATAATATACCAAAAAAATGTGTATATGAGTGCGATTTGTCTACAATTTCATTGTAGTCAAAATTCAAGTGAATTGGGAGATTTTTCATTCAATTCCTTTGTTCATATATGTTGGCGTACTGATTTACCCTGGCGTTTATACAAATAAACGTACTGATTTACCCTGGCGTTTACACAAATAAATGCCAGGGTAAATCATAAAATTAAAAAAGGATTATAATAATTTTGTGAATTCTTCTCATTGCAATAAGTTTCTCTAAAACATTGAACAATTAATAAAAGATATGTGTATAATAGAATATTTAATTTGTTCGTTGTATTTTGACGAACTCACTTAGATTTTAGACGAATCCAACTATTGCTTCTCAAACATTTCACTTCGAAAGTTAAGCTTAATTTAAGAATAATCTTTAATTTATTACTTTTATTTTTAAGCATTTAACTGTTAGATGTATAAGAAATATATAAAGAAAAAAATCCACGGCGACGAGGCAGCAGACGGGATTCGATCCCGCACTCTCCGCAATCCGGCCACTGACATGTCGCTACATCGCAGCCTAAGTAATACCAGAGAAAAAGTGTGTGCGGATTCGAGTCCCGCCTGCTGCCCGGTCTGCGTGGGATATTTTCTAGTATTTTTTTTTCTTCAGATTTAACCTTTAAATTATTGTGTAAAAATATATAAAATTCCATCAAGTACAAATAGCAAAGATTTTCATTATGATTTGTGTATACGGTAAATATATTTTTATCTGATGTAAATAATAGATATTTATATTATTTTTAAATATCAAAAACATCATTGATAACTTCACACTCGCAAAAACGAATATTATTTTAAAACATGGAATCATTTGAATATTATTGTTACAAAATTAAATGTACACATGTACTTTAATATATTGCCGCAGACTAGGTGATCAAATACTTAGGTATTGAGGTTAATATTTAAAAAAAACGAGCGAGCCTTACAGTAGTCGCGTATGATGTGTAACATTTGAAACCTCACCTTATATTAGTAAAAAAAAAAGAAATAAAACCTACTACAAAAGGAATAAGCCATTTGAACATTATGTTCTAAAATCAAATCAAATAGCGCGCGCTTCCCAAACTTTCTGTTACACACTTCCGTCCCACTTCACGTAATCACTCCCACAATTTGCACGAAAGCGAGAGGAAAGATGTTACACATCAAAAAGCGTGTGCGTCTCCGGACGCCCGACAGAAGTGATTAACTATCCTTTTTTGAGCACAGGAGAATGGTAAATGAAAAGGATATTGGATGGCGAAAAGGGTATTCGAGGGTGATATGTGATTTGAGGATGAAAAAGCGGTTTTGAGGATAAAAGGGATTTTGATTCTATAATCGGATGAATCAGACTTGCAAAGTAGTGCTTGCTTGTAAAATACTTGAAGAATAAAATGTTATTTTGGGGAATTTGGCAGTGCTGTCGGTTGTATATATAAAGTTTTCCAGAACCAAACTTAATTCAGCATTAACACACCCATATCAACTTACTGAAACACACTTTGACTATCTTTTATAAGACGTATAATAACATATAAAAATATATCAAACATTAATAGGGTATTTGACAAGTTTTAGAAAACGATCTCACGTTATATCCTAATGTTTATGGAGTCCTTAAAAAGTGGATATTCATCATTCTGTTGTGTATTTCAGAAAAAATAACCAAATCAAAAACTCCATTTTCAAGTTGCCGCGAAAACGTTTCTCTGGACAACATGGCGTCTTACTAGTGTGTGACGTCACACGACTGTTATTAAAACGTCAAACGCTACAATGTAAAATCACTTTAACAGGAAGTTTACTTGCGTGTGACGTCATTTTAGGCTCCGCCGATCCTAAGCGTTTTGGGTCACGTGACAATAGATAATAAAACTATTATCTTTTTCGTGGGTTTTTAGTAAAATTATGAATATTTATTTTGTAAAATTAGTAAAAACCCCTGCCAATATTCATTCTAAACACAGATGCCAACAATTGGCACTTTATTTTTAATACTGTCAAATACCCTATTGAAGTAAACTTTATCCAAATGGCGCCCCGTGCGGGTGGTGTAAATAAATTAGAACTACATGTTTCGTGTCCTTTTTTTAATATTAAAGTGAGACAAAGGTATAGATTAAACGAACTTCCAAGGAGGTCTGATCGAAATAAAAGAAAAACCTAAAGAATACGCACGGCGCCATGTATAGAAGCGTGCGGTAAAACGTTTTACCGCACGCTCCGTTGTAAGGCCCGTAACTTTGAACTTTCGAACAATGTATACAACCTGAGTAAATGCATTTTTTTAACAAATGTGTTGAAAAATAATAAATAATTATTACATTACCATTTACTGGGAGTTGGTTATTGAAAGTGGCCGATAGAATGTCATAAGTGTTCTGCATTCGTACATACTTTAAGTATAATTTACCTAATTGTTTATTATTTATTTGTCACTGATTCTGAGTTCTGCCAATTCCTTCTCTTCATCCACTTCGTCTTCATCATCAGAACCGTGGACGGAAGCTGCTGGTGTCGTGGTCCCTGTGAGAAATTTCAGGAATAAATATATCATACACTGCTGAAAAATTCAAATCTAAAAACTCTTATTTACTAAATGAACTAAATGTATTTTCTAAATGAACTAAACTAGTGAACTAAATTAATGACAATGTATGTATCACTCTGTTACACTAAGTGAATGCAAGTGTTTCTACTACGATTTTTGTGTCAAGAAAAACTTCAAAACATGAAAACGTAAAACAGCCTAAATTTGTGATCTATGTAATTGTGAAAAAAAGATCATTTTCGTATCGAAACTCGGCTTAAATAAATCAGATCTTTATTTATAAATTTGTAAAACTCTTAGTAGGAGCTCGATAGCGCAAGTGATCAGCGCGTTCGGCTGCGATCGTTGAAGTTAAGCAACTTTCGCAGTGGTCGGTCACTGGATGGGTGACCAAAAATTTAATATCTCGCGCTCCTCTGTGCTTTGGAAGGCACGTTAAGCCGTTCGTCCCGGCTGCATCTGCAGTCGTTAGCACCCACCAATTCGCACTGGGCCCGCGTGGTGGGTCATGGCCCAAACTCCCTATTCCATCCATAGGGAAGGCCAGTGCCGCAGCAGTGGGAACATTAATACGCTGATGATGATGATGAAAACACTAATCCCCTTATTAAACGAAGAATAAGCTAATGTTAGTTATTCCATGTTTTGTATCTGTTCATCATCATCATCAAGTAAATTTTTGGTCACCCATCCAATGACCGACCACTGCGAAAGTTGCTTAACTTCAACGATCGCAGCCGAACGCGCTAACCAGTTGCGCCATCGAGCTCCTAGTTAGAGTTTTACAAATGTATAAATAAAGGTCTCTACCCCTAACACGAACAATTATCGAATTCGTATCGTTTGCGAGTCCGAAATGTCATTGTCAAATGTGTACTGATTTTTAGTTCTCGTTACGTACTTTGTGACGCTGCTATGTATCTGTTCATTGAATGACAAATAACATTTGAGTGATATGAACAAAACACGGCGTAACTAGTCTAACCCTATTCCTGGTTTATAAATAAGAGGGCAACTTTTTCAGCTAAGTGAAATAAAACTACACAATTGGTGCCACGAAAACTTACAAACTATAACTTCAAAACGCAAAGCTGAAATTTCTTTTGTTTTACAACTTTGTAAACTATTATACATACTATTAGTCTTTCACTAAAAAAATATAACTACATATTTTGTGCCACGAAACCAGCGTTGCCAAGTCCGATTTTTAACAAACGTAAGATTGAAATTAAAAGCGCAAGTGGTTAATATACAATTTTAAATCGTTGTAGATCCTGAACAGACACAAAAAATGGTAAGGAACCGAAACATGATTTTCGATTATCTAGACAATGATACCAAACTCGACATATTTCGTCAACTTATTTTTTTTTTTACTTCCTCACAATATGACGCCTAATTGTCCCCATATTAAATTTTGATTACTATCATATGTTTAGTAGCACTCCCATGATTAAGACGAATCGATTGACGTATGAATCATCAAAATCGGTCCACGCGTTTGGTCTCTAGTGTGCCACAAAGGAACAAACATACATTATATAGACTGTTAAACACTATACCCTGTCTGCGCGTCGCGCTCTTGCATTGCGCAGTCGGGTAAAAATGGGGAGGCGTTATAGAAAAATGCAGTAGATGTATGGAAAGAGCTTTGCACCCCCCATCCCCTGCCGCCCCTCAAAGCTTGGTTTTTAATTTAGACTATAACATATTTACCTCTTATCTATTAGACAAGTCCGTCCGTCTGTCTGTGGTGCTGTTTCAGCGGCCAAACCGTAAGAGATAGATAAAGAGAATATTTAAGTTATAAGTTAAGAATAGTCTGATAAGACTACAAACCGGATTTGAGTTACGTAGCACTTCCGGTTTTCGAGAAATCACGAATTTCAAACGAAACCACACAAAATCTCCGAAGTTCTCAATTAATTAAATACATTTTTTTTTTAATCTGGTTTTGGTGAACATTTGGTTCACTGGTTTGCTAGTTTTATTATAATAAAGGTAACCTACATTCTTAATGGCGGAAAACTCAACTTAAAAAAGAAAATCGTATTCTAAGAAGAACAGTAGATTCATATGGAAAAATAACAGAACAGGAGAAAATTCAGAAAAAACAGGAGATCTCCTGTAAAATCGGGAGACCTGGCAACACTGCACGAAACCCTTAAACCCAAAACACAAAGACCCATCACACTGAAACCTGTAATCTACTCCTTATCATCCGCACAGTCGTTCAGTTTAGCGATCAGTTGGTCAATCTGTTGTGCGACCGCTTCGTTCAATGGTTCTAGAAAGTTCTCATTGGGCGTCGTATAGTTTTCGTGTTCAGATTCATTGAAAGGTTTCTCGAAAGCAACATCACCAGTGGCATCGCTATTAGCAAGATCGTCGTCAGTTATTTCCAAGAGTTCCAGCGATTTCTGCAGGTTTATTATGGTTGTAATTTTTCGATCTTTGTCTATGGTTTGTTCGCATGTTTGCACCTGTTCGTCTTTGGTCTCTTTCTGGACCTGTTTTATTATGGTTGCGACTAGTCGAGTTGGAGACTTGTGACGACGAACTGGTGTATGTAATAATTAAAAGAAATTAAAATATTTGTACTGCTTCTAGCTAGCGATTAAAATAAGAGTGAATTTTCAGTTTTTTTTTTTTATAGAATTGTTTACAAAACTCCGGTATATACAGGGTGGCCAGAACATTGACGGCCAAAAAAACTTTTGGTCGTCGTATCGTGGGGTATCCGAATCACCCCCGTGTATGTTCCGCGACTTTTTATAGTTTTCGAGTTATGATTAATTTAAATAATAATTAAATATTCTGATTGGAATGCGTAGGGCTCGGTGGTTCAGATAAAGGTCTCGGATAGTTGAATCTCTTGCCCAATTATATGTTCATATTTATTTATTTATTTATTCAGTAACACATGCCGGCTTACAGAAATATCCAAAACGCCGGCAAGTCATACATAAAAACATTAACATACATTCCAATACAATCCAAGAAAAGAAAAGAAAAACAAAAAATAGTAAATCTAAAGAAAATATAACTAGAAAAAATTCCAGCAGCAGAATTCTTGCAGCTTAAGAATAGCTAGAAAGAATTTCAACGCGGTCCGTGAGGGCCGCGGTAGCATAATTGGTCAGTGCATTCGCCCGGATTGCGAAGGGTGCGGGTTCAAGTCCCGTCTGCTGCCTGGTCCGCGTGGATTTTTTTCTAGTTATATTTTCTTTAGATTTAAACATCAAGCAGTTACATGCTTTAAAAATAATAAAAATTATAAAAAATAGTAAAATAAATAATCATGTCAAATTAATAAACAATTAATAATGTCATATCATTCCAAGAGATTAATGTCATATGATCATATGATCGACATAGTATGGATATAGTTAATAAATAAAAAACATACATATATATATATATATATACTCACTGGAATGCGTAGGGCTCGGTGGTTCAGATATAGGTCTCGGATAGTTGAATCTCTTGCCCAACTCTATGTCCATATGGTCCACGTAATCTGGATATACTGTCTTCAGTGCTTGAGCGCGAGCTTGACGGTAATACTGTAAAGGAAATTATATATAAACCACTACTTCCAGTATTAAATTAATACTTGTTATTAAATTAAAATGAAATTAGGCTTTATTGAAATTTTGAAATTGAAACATTTCTTTGTCGTACTATTCGTAAGTGGAATTCTTTGCCCGCGCACGTGTTCCCTCCGTTCTATATTCTATTTCTAAGGGGTCCCCTTTCATATTTCTAAGGGGTCCTTTAAGAGGCGTGAAGAAGCATTTTTGCAGGCCGGCAAGGTGAGGATGGTAGGTGTAGCAGTTTATAACTGCTGTACCAGCTATCTTCGCGTTTGGACTCTATCACCACTTAACATCAGGTGGGGTAGAGTCATTTGCCTATCTGGCTAAAAAAATGAATTATTGAAAGCTTATTACAATCGTCCAATATTTTTTTAACCATTCAATACATATTTCAGCTGATGACACTGGGCGTATTTCACAGAAGCAGCAACATTGTAACTAGTACGTTTATAAATCTATTATTTTTTTTTGGAAAAACAATCCACTCTGCCTTTGTCAGACAGGATTCTTAATTGTGACTCCAGCAATCCGAGCGAATGATTTTTAAAATTTTACAGTAAAAAAGTCGGTTTTACGGGCGAAGATTTTACGTGACAACGTCTTTTTCTCGGTAGAATATTTATTGATATGAATATAATTAAATTGCACAATAGGAACAAGGAATTGAATGAAAATAAGAATTGCACAAATTTTAACTATAGAAATATATTTTGTTTACTAAAACATTGTACATGTAAACTTAAACTTAACACGAGAGACTCATCGTAACGTTACCGAGCGTTACACTTTTTCATAAGTGACTCCCAGCCGCAACCTAATTTAAGACGTTGTCACGTCAAAAATCTTTACATTTGCAATTGCAATATTTTTTACCACAGCAACGACAAACAGAACTTAGCTAATTATAAACTTATTGCTTTTTCAACACATTTGCTCAAAAGTGCTATTACGGAGGTTGTTCACATTGTTCGAAAGTTCAAAATTACGAGCCATACAACGGAACGTGCGCTTATAGTACATTATGATATAAGTGCGGTAAGTTGAGAATTACAGCCGAGGCGATATTGTTAGCCCGAGCCGTAGGTGAGGGCTATAAGAACGCAGAGGCTGTAATTATCAAACCGCACGTATCTCATACGACGTTTTATAACACATTTGCGTGGAAATAATACTACCTACGTAGATATTTTCTTAAAATGAACGTGCACCTTTGTTTGTTTTCCATAAGATGAAATTTTGATACGCTTGACTGTGAGTATCTATCCGTGGATTTTTCGGGCAAAAGGCTTAGCGTAGCCTTTTTCGTCTTCTGGCGGTGTCAAATTCATAAATTCGTTACTACTCGACAACATTTTCAAATAAAAACAATACAGCGAAAAGGAAAAGAAATAACTTTTTCATCGATTAGTGATGCCAATAAAGTAAATTAATATTTTTGTGAATTTGTTACCGATACATGGTTGTGATTTATTGTCAAAATGAATCAAATTAAAGAATTAAATGTTTGTATATTATATTTTATCTCCCAAAGTTAATTTTATTAAGAAAATGTTGGTTAACTTTCTAACATAAACTCTTTGCTAAGTTTAAAAAAGTATCGTTCGTTTTTAGACGGAACATAATAAGCCGTGCGTTTTACTTTACATTACCGCACGCGTGTGTAATGTAATAGATTATGATATTGAAATTGGTGCAATAAGAGGCGCTTTACGAGCAAATGTGTTATAAAAAACTATTATGTGTTTATAGATGCTTAAAATTGTCACTTACAATTCCAAGGTTTCTCCAATCCATAAGATCTGAGAGTCGCTCCGTCCTGTTCCTTTGTATAATGCGTTGTCTGCGAGTCAATCTACAAAACAAAAATAATCCACAATATATTATACAAAATGTTTATAATTATACTTTTAATTTTTTTGACGACCTCCATGGCCGAGTGGTTTGTACGCCGGGTTTCATGGTGTCGCCGACTCGAGAGGTCCCCGGGTTCGAATCCCGGTGGGGGCAGATGTTTGTGTGATGAATACGATCATTTGTGTAAAAGTACTTTTATGTATACAGTATATGTATTCTATCCGTTACCCTAGTATCCCATAACACAAGCCTTACAGTGCTTACTTTGGGGCTAGGCTAATTGGTGTGAGTGTTGGAAATATTTATTATTATTTAAATTTTAAAATTCAAAATAATGTACTTACTTAGTGAAATCAAACATGTACTGGGCTAGTTGTTGCACTGAACCCTCAAGGGATATATATCTACGGTCCACCACGTAGATGCCGTAGGACAATGGGTCAGCTATGTGTTCTTGCATGAAACAGCCGAAACCTAAACAAAGGAGAAGGTTTTATTTTTATTTTGTTTATTTATTTATTTAATAGGTGTACATACAGCTTAAACATATAAAAACATTGTAAAATTAAAATAATACTGTAACAACCCTAGGTAACCCCCATATAGAATCGCCAACCCTACGAATTGAGTCGTATAGTATCAAAGGCGGCAAAGTAGGGCGAACCAAATATTTGGCAAATCAAAAAAAAACTGTTTAGTCTCGTCTTTAAGGGAGGATTTTTATAATTGACATTTCACTACGATTTGTAGATGAATGTCAATTATAAAAATCCGGGATAATAATCCGAAAAAATATTAACGGGATTGTTACCATGTACCTTGTTTTTGAAGTTATACTTCTTTAGGCGCGTTATGATAAAATGATGAGAGTGAAATTTTAAGATGCGCGCGCATCACTGTAACACAAAAATTTAACAGCATGAAGTTGGTCGCTTTAGCGACCAACTTCATGCTGTTACTTTTGTGTTTACCGCACATTAAGAAAATCTACCAACAAAATAAAAATAGAGTCTCTATTTTGTGGGTGCTAACGACTGCATTGTGAAGGCCTATAAAAAGTATTTATTAATCTGGAACAACGGAACCAAAGCGCGATCTCTTGACCATTGGTGTAGTAGAACCAAAAACCACATCTTTATTTTTTGTAATAAAGTAACAGTTATAGGTATTCATATTTATAATATTTATCCACATGTTTCTAGTTTGTATATTCGGAATACGTGTTTGAGTTTCATACAAGTGCAAATCACATATGTTCTAATAAATTATATTCAGTAGCGATTTTAATTGAATATTTTGATTATTTATTTATTTTTTCAAATTAAAACTGAACTTTATTGACTGTGTCCTTTTCCAGACTTTTTATTAATTTATTATAATTAATTATTTGCATGCAATTAAAAACTAATTTTAAACGATGCCAAAGAAGGATAACTTCTCACGCGCCTACATAAGTACACGCACCCATTTTTTTATGAGTCTCCGATATTTCGGCACTGTTGCAAGCGCCATGATCACGGAGTAACTGAAGTAATTGCGGGTAGGCTGTTATTGGCAGACATATCGGTCTACCCTCCGACGAAGTCTTTTATTGCGTTCGATACCCGTACCACTGTTCACATTCTCACTATTCACTCGAAACTGTTCTCGACACACAGCACTTACAGTATCGGATCGCGACACGACACTTTTTTGATATTTCCGGTTTTCACACATACGAACCACAGGATTCCAGACAAACTAAAAACAAGGTACATGGTAACAATCCCGTTAATAACATATTACTTTAATATAATGACCATTCAATTCAATAACAGCGGAAGGGTGTAATTAAATAATCCCCCAATAATTACTCAGTAAAGCGCGACTAAACAAGAGATTCGTTAAAAGTCGCGAGGATTGGTAATCGCTCCCCTCTCTACCCTTCCATTCCACCATTATGCATCCCATTCCTTTCCACCCCACTCTTTTCCGTTCCATTCCGCCTCATCGCATTAAATGGCGTTCCATTCCATTCTGTCCTGTTCTTGCGTAACAAATTGGTATCAATTTCATTCCTATCCATTCTATCACATCCTGTTCCTTTCCACCACATTATATACCATTCCATTATATTCTATTCTTACCACTTGACAAATTGGTGGTTATTCTAGGTTTCCCATGACGGTAAATTCAGCAGGTGTATATCCCCAAAATCCGTAGTACGAAGGTTTAGGTGAAAAACGTAACCCAAATAATTCCCAGCAATCAAACTAAACAGGATCATTAAGTAACCCCTTCTCTTCGCTTGTAAAATTCCACCAAAATGAGTTCCATTCCATTCTAATTCGTTCCATTCCATTAAATTCTGTTCCATCCCATCACATTTGATGACGTTCTATTCGAGTTTATAGAGCGACAAGGATCTTTATGAATGTGGCGAAATATTGGAACTAACGCCACCGTGTTTGTAAACGTTATATTTTTAAGTTATCAAAGGTCATTTACGCAGACACTAGGGCCCTCTCTAAACTGTCACTCACATTCAGAAAGATCCTTGTCGCACTATCGCGTCGTATTTCCGTTATATTGTATTCTTAGCTAATAAATTGATGGTAACACTAGATATTCCCATGACGATACATTCAGCGGGCGTATATCCCCAAGGTTTGTAATATGAAGGAAAATCTTGGTAACCCCTTAACAATGTCTAGGAATCGAGAGTAACCCGAAACCATCATTATAATACGTTCCATTCCGTTCCACTCTATCACATTCTATTCCATTATATTTAACTCCATTTCATTCCGTGGCCGTTCCATCACACTATATTCCATTACATGCCATTATATTCTACCCTTACCTGACAAATTGGTTGTGATACTTGGTATCCCCATCACAGTACATTCAGCGGGCGTATATCCCCAAGGTTCGTAGTACGAAGGGAAAACGCCTAAATGACAACCCCTGACGAATTCTTCGTAATCCAGCCCGAATAGGGGGTTGGTTGAGGTCAGAAACTCGGGGTGGAATATTACCTGGTGATGATAAATCATAATCATCATCATTCTGAGACAATGTTACTGTAAGAGACGGCACTAGGCGGGTAATATAAATTGTTAATTGCTATAATTTCCATTATTTTAAAGCATGTAACTGCTTGATGTTTAAATCTAAAGACAATATAACTAGAAAAAAATCCACGCGGACCAGGCAGCAAATATAACTATAATTGCTATTTCTTCTTTCAAATGTTTAATACTTGTAAAAGTATTCATTTGACATTGTGGGTTACCTATAATGTGAAGAGATGGCGCTGCCTTACAGCTTAAGAATGGCTAGAAGAATTTCGACGCGCGTCCGTGAGGGCCGCGGTAGCATAATTGGTCAGTGCATTCACCCGGATTGCGAAGGGTGCGGGTTCGAGTCCCGTCTGCTGCCTGGTCCGCATGGAATTTTTTCTAGTTATATTGTTAAAATGCTTTTCACTAAATCACACTAATATTATAAAGGCGAAAGTTTGTGAGTGTGTATGTTTGTTACTTCTTCACGTCTAAACGGCTGGAGCGATTTTTAATGAAATTTGGTATGGAGTTAGCAGTCACTCTGGATTAACACATAACTTTACATTATAGAAACTTATCGAATTGCATAAAATTGATTCAGTTAAATAAACATAGTACTCACTTTGACTTTGTCATTGACTGTATTGAACAGTTGACATCTCCTCACTCCGGTCAACACTGGATCACTCCAGTCGTCAACCTAGATGAAAATGAAAATAAACAAATAATGAGCAATATCACAAATCATCAACATTTTTAACTGAGTTCAATAATAAGGAGATTCTCAATAGGGTATTTGACAAGTTTTTGAAAACGATCTCACGTTATTGACTAATGTTTATGGAGTCCGTAAAAAGGATATTCATCATTCTGTTGTGTATTTCAGTACAAATAACCAAATCAAAAACTCCATTTTTAAGTTGCCGCGAAAACGTTTTTCTGGACAATATGGCGTCTTACTAGTGTGTGACGTCACACGACTGTTATTAAAACGTCAAACGATACAATGTAATGTCACTTTAACCGGAAGTTTACTTGCGTGTGACGTCATTTTAGGCTCCGCCAAACCCAAGCGTCACTATTATCTTTTTCGTGGGTTTTTAGTAAAATTATGAAATTTTTTTTTGTAAAAATTGTAAAAACCTCTGCCAATATTCATTCTAAACACAGATGCTAACAATTGGCACTTTATTTTTAATACTGTCAAATACCCTATTCGTCGTTATATTAGTTTATTTAAGGGTTGTTTAAGCTAATCAAACGACAGACACAACCATCAACATCACACATTTTTAATATATATCATAGTTATAATCCGTCGTTTAATTACAGGAACAAAAGACTTTAAATCTTATTTATATAATGTTAAGAGAAAATCAGATATTTCTCTCTTCATATTAAAGGGATAAATGCTTAGATTAAAACAAAAAGACAAAATACGGCACTCGCGGCTCAAAAGTGATCCGCTTAAATTGTGGTGCATGGCCATAATTCGCTTTAGTCACAATTGGACATTCAAACACGCTGCATGTGCACTCAATATAACAGTATTGCGTATATTCTGTGTTATAAAGACAAAACAATGCCTTCGATGCTTTTATAAAGAACACAAATAGTTCAAGATCAAATAAACAATTTCACGGCTTTTCAAAACTTTACATTCGTAAAATTATAAATGATTGATTGATTGATTACAAAATAAATAATAAAATAAAAATTATTAATTTCGGACAACAGCAGCCCATATCAACCATACAAAACCAAACAATAAATCAACGTTAAATAAATTTACAAAAAAAAATTATGACAAAATTTGTCTTGAAAAATATCACGGTTTGTCTTGAATGTTATTTACTTTTTCGCCATTAAAAAAGTAAATAACATTCAATTATTGTTGCTGCTAGCTGAGCTGTATTTTTGTCCATTTAAAGGACAACAATACAGCTTAGCCGAAGAGAAAAGAAAACGCAGTCGCCAAACCAAGCGACGCAGTCTCTCCGTTTCGCCCGCGCTGCGTTGAAGCGTACAGTTCTGTCTCGCTCGCTCGATTGAATGTTTATTTACAGACGTGTGTATGAGAGTTACATATGTAGTTGAGTTGGAGCATATTTTATTTGAATGCTAGTATGAGCGTACCGTAACTTCCCTTTTTGTTTTTTAATCTTAGGGGAAAACTATTTTTTAGAGTTAGTAACACTGGATAATCAAATGTTACATACTGAAAAAAAAAAATTTTTTTCAGTGACAACTTACCACATTATGCGTAGTGACCGGCGGTAACCCATCCCTCTGTAACGCGTATATACAGCGCTTGAGTCGCACAGTGTCGTCTTTGTGTAGGAGATCCGATGCTTCGGGCAAATGGCCTCTGTGGTGAGAATATTGAACTCTAAACGTTAGGTAATAAGGTCGCTTTCCGCGTTACTGTATCTGTCTTTATCTGCTTATTTCGAAACCAATTTTGGAAGAAGAAATAAAATATTTTTTTCGAAATTGGTTTCGAAAAATGTGTTCATTATATTAATGAATCTAAAATACATTTTTTTATTTATTAATTTAATTCCTAACTACTTATAAGTAAACTCAGCATGCAATTGCAATGACCCCAGCAGATATTTAATTAAAATTGTCTATATGTGTGTGTTTGATGTGTGTGTGTACATACCTCAGGCATATATCATACATTCTCTTGCCCACTTTCATCTGTATATCGTGAATGGTGTCCCTCAAGGCTTTAGTGACTGCGTGGCCTCGTAAACTCTCCACATTGAAATTGTTCGTCTTCGCGGGGAATATAAGGAACGCTACCACGGTCATATCTGAGCCGGATGACTGCAAACAATGTTAAGTATTTAAACACGAAATCACTCATAAAATATTACCAACTAAAGAAAATATTACCAAAGAAAATATAACTAGAAAAAATTCCACGCGGACCAGGCAGCAGACGGGACTCGAACCCGCACCCTTCGCAATCCGGGCGAATGCACTGACCAATTATGCTACCGCGGCCCTCACGGACCACGTCGAAATTCCTCTAGCCATTCTTAAGCTGCAAGGCAGCGCCATCTCTTCGCATTATAGGTAACCCACAATGTCAACGTGGTCCGTGAGGGCCGCGGTAGCATAATTGGTCAGTGCATTCGCCCGGATTGCGAAGGGTGCGGGTTCGAGTCCCGTCTGCTGCCTGGTCCGCGTGGAATTTTTTCTAGTTATATTTTCTTTAGATTTAAACATCAAGCAGTTACATGCTTTAAAATAATAGAAATTATAAAAATATTACCAGCTAAAAATCACTTCACCATTTCAGTCGTCAAATTGAGAAATGATTTTAGAGATAATAATTCATGAACACCTTTCATTACATAAGCGTGGGATCCATATTATAAATTCGAAAGTGTGTCTGTATGTCTGTTACCTCTTTACGCTAGAACCGCTGAACCGATTTGGATGACATTGGTTTAAGTCTCGGGAAAGGACATAGGATTGTTTATGTCCTAGAAAATATATCTCTACATATTATTAAACAAATCCCGCTGTCTGTACGCTTAGATCTTTTAAACTAGATTACGGATATAAAAGCAGTTTAGCAATAGATAAAGTGATTCAAATTGGTGTATAATACATGCCCGAGAACAAAGACTGTGACAGACAGACAGACAACCGAGTGATCTTCTATAAGTGTTTCCGTTTTTGCCGATTAAGGCACCTAAAAATACAATGGTTACCTAACCTGACATTTTACTAATTATACTTTTAGGTGACATATTCTTTTTCAGAATAATTCCCAAAAAGATGTAACTATTTTTGATTGATTAGTGGTCCTGCGAACTGGATCATTAAGCAACTTTATCAAAGGCCATATTTAAGATGAGTGACCACACTCACCTTTAAGTAGTGGTGGAGCCTAGCCAAAGCTTCGGTGAAAATGACCTTCCCTTTCTTTATGGCAAAAATTCGTACTAATTAACATTAGTGGTCCTTCGAGCCGGATTATTAAGCAACCTTATAAAAAGTTATCTTTAAAATAGGTGACCACACTTACCTTCAAGAGTCTAGCCAATGCTTCAGTGGAAATTAGCCACCTTTCATTCTAATACAAGCTCCGTACTCGTGTACATTAGCGGTCCTTCGAGCCGGATTATTAAGCAAATATATAAAAGGTCATCTTTAAGATGGGTGACCGCACTCACCTTCAAGTAGTGGTTGAGTCTTGCCAATGCTTCAATGAAAATGTCCGCCCCTTTGTTCCCGTACTCGTAACGACCGGCGATGAAGAAATACAACGTCTTGTCCAGATCAAAATTGAAATGCCTGTGTAAACATAAATATAACATCATCATCAGCCTATTAATGTCTCCACTGCTGGGGCACAGGCCTTCCCTATGGATGGAATAGGGAGATTGGGCCATGACCCACCACGAGGGCCCAGTGCGGATTGGCGGGTGGTAACAACTGCAAATGCAGCCGGGACCAACGGCTTAATTGAGTCTAATTTGAGGTCGCGATGCAAATTAATGTTGCGCACGTACCACGGGCAACCCAGTAGTGGTTTAAGACGCAACAGGGTACGTGGGCGAAGCAAACACTCGCGTAGGTCATGATAGGTTGGATGCAAGTTTTGTAAATTGTCAAGTTATGCCTAAGTGACATCTTACGCTTCCCTATGAGGTGGAATAGCCTGCCGCGAATGAATGCTGCGCGATCGAGATGAGGTGCAAACGTAAATCGGCTGTCTAACGTAATTCGCAAGTACTTGACCCGGCCCTCCCAGGGGATGACCCGGTCAAATAGTTGGATGCTCGGAAGAGAGGCCCATCTGGTGTTGGTCGGGCATTGTATATATTAAGTATTTGCCTCCGAATTTCTCTTGCGCGATGTAGGCTTCCATACTTATTGATCGCAACGCCGGTAGCGCCATCTCTTGAAAATGGCGAGTGATTATTTCCTCTATCTGTTGGTCATATGTGGGGCATGTAGTTGTCGCTGCCACACATTTATGATTTTTTTCTCAAGAAGAGTGGAATAGATTATTCGGCAAGGTCAATCTATTTACATATATACCGGCAAGTTTCTTGAAAAATCCCATGAGAGAAAAAATCATATGAGTCTGTTTTAAGTTTTATTGGTATTATTTAGTTAAATTTATGGTATTAAATACTGGATTATTATTTTTTATTATTCTAAAGAACTTTTTACTAGATTTCTTTTTCTTTAGATTTACAAATCGAGCAGATTAATGCCTTCAATCACACTAATATTATAAAGGCAAAGTTTGTGAGTGTGTATGTTTGTTACTTATTCACGTTAGGTCGCTGGAGCGATTTTAATAAAATTTGGTATGAAGTTAGCTGGCACACTGGATTAATACATAGGCTACGTTTTACTGCGGGAAAATATCCCTAATAAACCGCGGGTAACACCGCGGGGCACAGCTAGTAAGATATAATTCAGTGTACAAGTAGTTTTTTGAAGTGAAAACTTCTTTAGCGGCGTTGTACATTTTTTTTTGTATGGGTAAAAAATGTTAAACTCGCGTCAGGTTAAACACGTGGGCTGATCGCATCATGACACAATAAAATTGGAAAGGTTGTTGCCTTTTAATATATTGGACGAAACATAGTAATATTTTATTCTACCGTATTATAATAATAAGTCTCTATCCAGGACGTCCACGTGGCAGCTTTATTGCGAAGAAAATGCATTTTTTTTTCAATAGATGTCTCTAGGTGCGCTTAAATGTGATTCATGTAAGCCGATTTCTTTACAACAGAAGTCGCTAAGTGCGCTTAAACGTGATTCATGTAAGTTGATTTTTCTGAGAGATAATTTTTTATTGTAATATAAATTGTCATGCTTGTTTACGATAGCGCAATAAATAGATTTTATATTCTACCACATACATGATAGTACTTTTATACTGATAATTAAAGCAATTCGTGCAAAACTATTCCCCAACCATTCCAAAATATCAAAAATGCACAACGTTAATATTCAAGTTTTCACTTCGTAGGCACTCCCGGAGTGCAATCCGTCGTTTTTATTTAAAGGCTTACCCATAAAAATGTCCTCTTGTGAACTCATTGATCTTCTCCTTGGCCAAAGCGTGAAGGTTCTGGAATTCGTGCAAAGCGGAAAACTTCTTGACGTTCAACCCGTTCGGCGTTATTATGTCCGGTTTCCGTTTCAATAGATGCTCAGCTTCGTAACCTGATGGGAGAATAATGCAAATGCTTATATGTTGTTTTGATTGATAATATTGTCACAAACGCTCTCGAAACGGAACCGCGAATGTGCTAGACATCGAATTTGCCAAAGCACCGCGGGTCGCGATAGAGGTCAAGTAATGCGGCTCATTCTAAAATGAGCCTTATGCAGAGCGACGTAAGGAAGAAAGTGCAACGACATCTGCACTTTACAAGTGATGCGTGTTACCTGCGTAGGTATAAGTAGGTATTTCGTACTCGCGGGTGCTAGGTAATTCTCAATTTAACAGGTACTTTCTAGAATGCGTCGATCGGCGTATATAAGCACGATTGGCGCCGTGCAGAGACAGTTGAGTTTCGCTTTCAACGGTTATCATAAAATACATGTGTTGTTTTGTTTCATGAGTTTGATTCCCGGTTTTAGTAGTCGATTTTTTAAAAACTATGAATGCAGTTCCACTTATTATTAAAAATAAAATGATGTTTTATTTCAGTAAAATATCCTATCTTCAATATTTGATATATTTTCCCTCCGTGTGACAAACCTGTGGGTCACCCTTTATATACAAAGTGTAACAAAAATTAAAAAAACACCCTGAAAGTAGTTCATTATTTAATGTACAGCTGCTTGTGTGATGTTTTTTTTTATATAAATTTGAGTTGATTTAAAAAAAAAACTTTTCATTTTAGACGTTGCGCAAAGTCATAAGTTACAAAAAATAAAATCAACGACTATTTTATGCAAAAGAAAACTAAATGAATACATCAGTCATAATTCAAAATAGCTGAGGCCCAAGCACGAACTTTGACAGCTCCGTCATCATATCGCTTCGTTTGTTTCTATGAAAACTAAACAGCGCCCCCTACAGGACGTAAGAACAAACTAGCTTTTTCCATACAAAATTTGACGATGACGATACGATTTCGGAGTTGTTAAAATTCGTGTTTTGACCTCACAGCATTATAAGAAACATTTAACTGACCCGCCCGGCTCCGCACGGGTGCATTATACAGGATGTCCCACGGCCACGCCACACAGTAGGATTAGGTTTAAATATTGAAGACAGAACATTTTACCTAAAGTAGGCATCATTCTATTTTTAATAATATGTAGAACTGAATTCATTTTTTTTAACAATAAGTAGAACTGCATTCGTGTTATTTTTAATGATAAGTAGAACTGTATTCATAGTTTCTTTTCTAAATCGCAATTCTTTTTAGATTAATTTAAAGAACATAGACAGACTTATCCTAACTTATATAATAACGTAAAGCTATAGAGTTAGTTCGTTTGTTTGGTACTACAAATGTCGTCCTTTTTAAGTTGACTCACTGTTGCGGCCCTAACGCCGTGCATAATGTTTATGGTCAATGCCATTCACCTCTGGCAACCCCATTGTCAACTGTCAGTTGCTGTAGTCTGTGCTTTTTACTTTATACATTTAAACACGGGTTTTTACATAAATTTTATTTCTGCAAATTATTGTTTATTATAATAAATGGCACCATTATGTCCTACTAGACAATCACTATAAATAAGCTTTTTTCCTCGAAAGAATAAGCTGAAACCGCCGGGCACAAACAGCTTAAATAAAAAGATATAACTTACCAGTAATATCAGACACCGTAGTGAATATATGCGTCATATGTGCCGCAGCGCGCTCCATGCAATAACGGTGGTATATCTGTCTCTTTCCCGCCTCCTCGTCCACTGAGAACTGCGAAAGAGCCGAAAGATATCACAATCCCGTACATACATTTACGGCATATTATACAGTCGGCGTCAAGAATTGACGACCCCCGTGGCCGAGTGATTTGTACGCCGGGTTTCATGGTGTCGCCGACTCGGAGATCCCGGATTCGAACCCCGATGGGGGCAGATGTTTGTGTGATGAATACGAGCGATCCATGACTGGAGTACAAATACAGTTATGGATGTTTAATATATATTTCTATATAAATATACTTATATATTTACAGTATATGTATTCTATCCGTTACCCTAGTATCCCATAACACAAGCCTTATAGTGCTTACTTTGGAGCTAGGTTAATTGGTGTGAGTGGTGGAAATATTATTAATTTAAAAAATGGGCAAAACGTCAATAAATAAATAAAATCAGTGCATCAAACCCGTTGAAACTTCTAAAGAAAATATAACTAGAAAAAATTCCACGCGGACCAGGCAGCAGACGGGACTCGAACCCGCACCCTTCGCAATCCGGGCGAATGCACTGACCAATTATGCTACCGCGGCCCTCACGGACCGCGTCGAAATTCTTTCTAGCTATTCTTAAGCTGCAAGGCGTTAAGCCGTTGAAACTTGTTTTATTTAAAAGACGAAATCCTGCCCTCAGTGCAGGCACTTTGGTATTGTTGAATTTCTTCCAGTGAACACTTTTTTAATTGTGAATACTGTTTTTTTTATTTTATATTTGTAACTCAATCACTCCAAAAAGAGCCAAATGGAATTTAATGTTATTTATCAGTTAAGTACCTTGATTAAGATATAGATACCTTATTGCAAAAATTAAAGAAAAATTATAATAATTTACGTTCACAACGCTTCATAGCGCTTATTAAAAATGATTATTCTTAAGTAATGTATAAAATAAAGGTTGAAAAAAAAAACAATGTTACCTTGTCTAAATTGTTGTAGAAATCAGTGTTGCCAGCACACAGGTATCTCCCCAACAGCGTGGCGTGAGTGGTGAACACAGTGGCAACATCGACGTGACGCACTCTTTAGACAAAATAATTAGTTGCCATTATATGAATACGTTAGGGAAAACTTTTTTTTCTTTTATTAAGTACTTCACATATTGCATACGGCAGAGTGTAAGATTTTTTCATAATAAAAGCTTATTATGATTTTGAGGAGCTCGATGGCGCAGGTGGTAAGCGCGTTCGGCTGTGATCGTTGAAGTTAAGCAACTTTTGCAGTGGTCGATCATTGGATGGGTGACCAAAAAAAATTTACTATCTCGAGCTTCTCCGTGCTTCGGAAGGCACGCTAAGCCATTGGTCCCGGTTGCATCTGCAAGTCGTTAACTGGGCCCGCGTGGTGGATCACGGCCCAATCTCCGTATTCCATCCATAAGGAAGGCTTGTGCCCCAGCAGTGAGGACATTAATAGGCTGGTGATGTAATGTTATGCTATGTTATCCTGGAACACTAACTGAAAGCACTTTCTTCCAGGGCTTGTAACCGGTTTCGAAAATACCGGTAAATAAAGGTTAATACCGGTTTTTAGTAAAGGCTTCGTTCGGGCGAGCGACACGTGCACGCGTCGGCATCGATTGAAGTTTGTATTGTTTGAACTAATCAAGTCACAACTTGTTAATGCTCAGAGATTGATGCATTAATTGACACGTTTGCTAGCATCTAGTGAGTCAAGTTATTCATTTTGTAGTTGTGTACTGACACACTACTTCACTCACTCGCTCTGTAGTTGGAAAGAAACTGACATAAACTCATTATAAATTTGAATTGAAACGTCGAAGGCGATGCCGTCAGTAAGAGCGAAATGAAACCCTTTAAAAACCGCTTAAATTGATTAAAAACTTATTTGATTTCGCTTTTTAGGAAAACCGGTTTTTTAAGGTTAAGGTAGAGCTAAACCTAAATAAAACGCTCCTAATGTACTTGATACTGATTTAGGTTTGAAAATTAACCGGTAAACAAGCCCTGCTTTCTTCATACTAAATGCACAGTCATACAAAATCTCACCTCAACATAATGAGTCCGATGCCAGCCTGCCACTCGTGGAAATGGGCGACTACTCTGGGTGGAGTGTCGCTGTAATCTTCCGCTGCTTTTCGGAACTGTACAATAAATACATACATAGATAAAAATACAAGACAATACAAAAACTCTTTATTGTACACCAAAAAAAAACGTTGAACATTAAGTACAAAACCATCTAGTACACGTGATGCAATGGGCCAAAAGTACCACAGAAATAGAGAATTAACATGGCAACACCGGCTTTGCCTTTACAGTTGGACAAGAAATACTTAAATGGCAACGCAAGACAATCTTGCCTGCTCATACTTTCCTTCCTAACAGAATTAACAAGACAAATAAAATGCCTTGCATCTCCATTTTAATGTTTTTTCAGTATTGGATCATCACACTAACGTTATAAAAGAGAAAGTTTGTGAGTGTGTATGTTTGTTACTTCTTCACATCTAAACGGCTGGAGCGATTTTAATAAAATTTGTTATGGAGTTAGCTGACAATCTGGATTAACACATAAGCTACGTTTACTGCGGGAAAATATCCCTAATAAACCGCGGGTAACACCGCGGGGCACAGCTAGTGCTATATAAATTTGGATAGTATTACACGTAGTCAAGAAATTTAATAACTTACACAATAGGGTATTTGACAGTATTAAAAATAAAGTGCCAATTGTTAGCATCTGTGTTTAGAATGAATATTGGCAGGGGTTTTTACTATTTTTACAAAAAAATATTCATTATTTTACTAAAAACCCACGAAAAAGATAATAGTTTTCTTATCTTGCTTGGGATTGGCGGAGCCTAAAATGACGTCACACGCAAGTAAACTTCCGGTTAAAGTGACATTACATTGTATCGTTTGACGTTTTAATAACAGTCGTGTGACGTCACACACTAGTAAGACGCCATATTGTGCAGAGAAACGTTTTCGCGGCAACTTGAAAATGGAGTTTTTCATTTGGTTATTTTTACTGAAATACACAACAGAATGATGAATATCCACTTTTTACGGACTCCATAAACATTAGTCAATAACGTGAGATCGTTTTCTAAAACATGTCAAATACCCTATTAACGCGAAAGAACTTCAATAAATTTGATATTAAAAAGTTACCATTATCACTTTTAGAAATAAAAAATCCGTCCGTAATACAGAAAAATTACAATATAATAAATAAGGAAAGTTGCTGACAGGTTCTAAACTTTTTTATAACTTTCTATGAACTTTAAAATCGATTTGCTTTGAACACACTTACTAATCTTTTAACTGTATTTATCTTCATTTTTAATGTAACTTTCAGAACCTATCAGAAAAAAAAACAAATCTCATCTTTCCTTGTAGTACTTTTCACGATTCCGACATTCGCGTTAATTTTTTGACGAAATGTTTTAGATTCTTCCCTTATTCCTATATTTTTTAACTCCTGCTGCAAATATTTCTCTCATTATCGGTAACTGTCAACAACCTACCCGCATTTTTGGACAAATTTCAAACCTCCCCTTTCCCCTTAGAATTTTCCGTGATGTACCCACCTGCCTACCCTCATTTTATAAATTTCAAACCTTTTAGTAACATTTTCCTTCATTATTGATAATTTTCAGAACCTACCCGCATTTTAGATAAAAATTCAAACATCCTTTGTAGATCTTCCCACGATCCGCCAATTCTAAAATCTCGCATTATTTTTTGGAAAATCCCAAAATCTATCTGAAATTTTCCTTTTTTTCTACTTACCTCAGTTATGAACTGCGCCACCATGAATCCCAGTATTACAGCATCATTGGCCTCTATGTCCAGATGGGGTATTCCAACACCGGTGGTGTCCCACAACTCTTGCTTATATCCGTCAAGTTGCCACGCGCCCGATCCTATGTCGAATAGAATGACTTGCGGATTGCCATCCACTAGCCAAGTGCCGACATGAAGCTGTTGGAAATAAAAAAATAATCATACAACTAATAAAAATGCAATGATGTAATAAAAATTTCATTTGAATACTCCAGATTTTTAGCTATCTATAATCATAATCAATTACAGTGCCCCTAGCATGAACCAATTTCGAATCCGAATAGTTTGCGAGTGCGAAATGTCATCGTCAAATGTGTACTGATTTTTAATTCTCGTTACGCCCGTTTTAACGCTGCTATTTTAGTTTTCATAAAAAATTTGCCAATGACATTTCGCACTCGCAAACTATTCGAATTTGACATTGGTTCGTGCTAAGAGTACTGACCATTATGCTACGGCGGCCCTGATGGCCGTGTCGAATTCTTTCAAATGTTTAATTCTTGGAAAGGTATTCATTTGACATTGTGGGTTACCTACAATGCAAAGATATAGCGCTGCCTTGCGGCTTAAGAAACACTAGAAAGAATTCAACAAGGCCGTCAGGGCCGCGCCGCTGTAGCATAATGGTCAGTGATTCGCCCCCTTTTTTTTCTAGTAAAATTTTTCTTCATTAGTTTACTTAAAATACCTTGTATCCTTGACTTCTCATGGCATCGACAGCAATCGCCAAGGGCGAATTCTTGGGGAATTCCGCCTCCTCCACTTCTGTCCTCGCGCAGTACTCCTTGTAAGGGCCTGATAAAGGAATCCAGAATAGCCAATCAAGCCATCAAGATATAAATAAAATATTTCCAACACTCACACCAATTAGCTTAGCCCCAAAGTGAGCACTATAAGACTTGTGTTATGGGGATACTAGGGTAACGGATAGAATGCATATACTGATACAATTATAAGCATATTTATATAGAAATACATATTAAACATCCATGACTGGATTACAAATGCTCGTATTCATGACACAAACATCTGTCCTCACCGGGATTCGAACCAGGGACCTCGCGAGTCGGCAACACCATGAAATCCGGCGTACAAACCACTCGGCCACGGAGGTCGTCAAGGATAGAAATATAAGCGCGCACGCCACGAAGCAAATACGGCAGCAACGAGGCTTGCATAAAGTTCAGCCTACTTCGAGTTAGTACCCTTAGCACGAACCCATATCGAATTCGAGTATTTTTTTGAGTGTGTATGCTGTTGGTCGCAGATGACCTTTTAGTCCAGTCAACAAGTTCAAAAACGTGAAAAATAGAGATAAAGCTCCTAAAAATATGAGCAATAGCTCATTGGATTCGGAACGACCTCTAGAAAAATGAGTTTTGAGGATTTTACTGCACGTAAAAAATTGCAATTGTTATTAACAAAATAAGATGAAAAAAAAGAGGTATTTACGTTTTTGTTAATAACTCATAAACTATTAATATTTACGATATTTGGAAAAAAGGTCCTTAAAGAGGAGGAAATTTCCAAAAAAAAAGTCCCAGCTCCCGGAACTCTACCTCTATTATTTATAATTTTAATTTAACGCTGAAAATAGGGCTCCGCGCAGCCATTACGGCATGGGCGCACTGCCGTTAAAGACAGTTTCTTACATAAAATTATTTTTTTATAGTAACAAATATGAATTTAAAAATTTAAATAAATTATGGTGTCATCCAGATACTTGAAAGAATATATTCCCGTTGGAAAAAGTTTTTTAAATTAATTTTTCAAAAAGTTATGCAATTGTTAATTAACGAATTTTTTTCCTATCTCCGTTTTCATAAATGACGACATAAAAATTTAAATAATAAACCTATAAATTTTTGGCTCTGTGGAGCTCTTCTTATATATATACTTAACAAGATCCCGCGATAAAAGTTTATTAAAGTTAATTATTTTGTTTATAACAATTTTTTAAAGTTAACAAAAAATGAAAAGTCTAAGAAATGTTATTAAAAATTTCTTTTTTAAACAAATGTTATATTATTGCTGCTTTTTTATCCAACAATGGCATTAAGTAACATCGGAAAAAATTTTTTTACATCATTTGTTAAGAAATTGTTTATAAACAAATAGACAAGTTTAATATTTAAAGAATTTTTTTTTTACCATTATGTTGTCTTGGCAAAATAATGATTTTTAAAAAAAAAATTTTTCTTAAATAATTTTTTTTATTGTTTATAATCGTTTTTTTTATATTTCGATTGTTTAAATAATTAGTTAAAGAATGATTTTCTCTTTAAAAATCATAATTGGCATTTCTTCATAGGTAAATAGAAAAAAAAAATTTTTTATCAATAATTTCATTGTTTGTTAACTTAACAATTTGTTATAAACAAATTCTAACTACCGTTATATTTTTTTTCTAGAGCTAAAAACATAACAAAAACAGCCATATATATCAAAATACTAAAAAAAAAATTTTTCTATTTTTTATAACGCTTTTAAATATTACACGATACCAAAGTTGCACCGGACACTTGATTTGTCAAGTAAAAAATTAATATAACTTATAAACTATTCGAGATACGATAATGGACATTCAGGTCGTTTTTATAAAGCATTAATTAATCTTCAAAATAAGCTAAAAACCAAGTTTGTAACTATTGTTTATCAGCTAATACTTGCATTTGTTTATAAAATTTTGAGATTTCTTTAACTTTTTCGTATCTCTTATGACTTACAACTTAATAAATAATTAAAATACAGCTATAAACCTTTAAACAATTTTGTTTAGCGATACATTATCTCCCAAATTATCAATTAATCGTACCTCCATCTCTAATTGTTTAAACAATATACGTGATTTAATTAATATTTATTTAATATTTATCTAACACTTACCTTCATTTTGTAATTTTTTAATTTTCTCTACATTATTATAAGTTATGATAGCTTCTAAGTGAAACTGATTTTATCATTTATTTAAATAAATAGTTTCTTCGATGTCATTAAGTATTTTTTTTTTTCATATTTTTTGTAGTTTGATCTGCCATATCTTCTAAATTTTTACATGTAAACCATATTTTTATATATTTTATTATAATTAAATAGAATTACATTTATTGGTATGAAAAAAATATTAGAAATAATATAAGGATAAAATGGATTTATAAAATAAAAGTCACTGTTTTATAATAATAATTCTAAATATATTTGAGGAAATAATACAATGCAATAATACAAATTCAAATAGTTCGTTTCCTTCTTTTCTTTAAGGGAGGGATTGCAGAACAGCTTGGTCTATCGAAGTTTTGAACTGAACTAGTTGACACCTTTTCTGTCATATTAGAGATGGAGGTACGATTAATTGATAATTTGGGAGATAATGTATCGCTAAACAAAATTGTTTAAAGGTTTATAGCTGTATTTTAATTATTTATTAAGTTGTAAGTCATAAGAGATACGAAAAAGTTAAAGAAATCTCAAAATTTTATAAACAAATGCAAGTATTAGCTGATAAACAATAGTTACAAACTTGGTTTTTAGCTTATTTTGAAGATTAATTAATGCTTTATAAAAACGACCTGAATGTCCATTATCGTATCTCGAATAGTTTATAAGTTATATTAATTTTTTACTTGACAAATCAAGTGTCCGGTGCAACTTTGGTATCGTGTAATATTTAAAAGCGTTATAAAAAATAGAAAAATTTTTTTTTTAGTATTTTGATATATATGGCTGTTTTTGTTATGTTTTTAGCTCTAGAAAAAAAATATAACGGTAGTTAGAATTTGTTTATAACAAATTGTTAAGTTAACAAACAATGAAATTATTGATAAAAAATTTTTTTTTTCTATTTACCTATGAAGAAATGCCAATTATGATTTTTAAAGAGAAAATCATTCTTTAACTAATTATTTAAACAATCGAAATATAAAAAAAACGATTATAAACAATAAAAAAAATTATTTAAGAAAATTTTTTTTTTTTAAAAATCATTATTTTGCCAAGACAACATAATGGTAAAAAAAAAATTCTTTAAATATTAAACTTGTCTATTTGTTTATAAACAATTTCTTAACAAATGATGTAAAAAAATTTTTTCCGATGTTACTTAATGCCATTGTTGGATAAAAAAGCAGCAATAATATAACATTTGTTTAAAAAAGAAATTTTTAATAACATTTCTTAGACTTTTCATTTTTTGTTAACTTTAAAAAATTGTTATAAACAAAATAATTAACTTTAATAAACTTTTATCGCGGGATCTTGTTAAGTATATATATAAGAAGAGCTCCACAGAGCCAAAAATTTATAGGTTTATTATTTAAATTTTTATGTCGTCATTTATGAAAACGGAGATAGGAAAAAAATTCGTTAATTAACAATTGCATAACTTTTTGAAAAATTAATTTAAAAAACTTTTTCCAACGGGAATATATTCTTTCAAGTATCTGGATGACACCATAATTTATTTAAATTTTTAAATTCATATTTGTTACTATAAAAAAATAATTTTATGTAAGAAACTGTCTTTAACGGCAGTGCGCCCATGCCGTAATGGCTGCGCGGAGCCCTATTTTCAGCGTTAAATTAAAATTATAAATAATAGAGGTAGAGTTCCGGGAGCTGGGACTTTTTTTTTGGAAATTTCCTCCTCTTTAAGGACCTTTTTTCCAAATATCGTAAATATTAATAGTTTATGAGTTATTAACAAAAACGTAAATACCTCTTTTTTTTCATCTTATTTTGTTAATAACAATTGCAATTTTTTACGTGCAGTAAAATCCTCAAAACTCATTTTTCTAGAGGTCGTTCCGAATCCAATGAGCTATTGCTCATATTTTTAGGAGCTTTATCTCTATTTTTCACGTTTTTGAACTTGTTGACTGGACTATTTACAGCGTCACCGGGTTTGGAGATGGCTAGATCCTAAGGGGACCTCAAGCCGAGAATTGGCGAGTGCCTCTAGGAGTATTCCAGGCGGTTAGCATCTCCCCACGGGGGGAATCTCCTCTCCGTCTGGAGCATGGATGCACGGACCGCGGCCCGCCGGTCGAATACTGATGGCCCGCCGACAGCAAAAATAATTAGCATAAAAGCTCTGAAACCTGCCAGCTTATTTGGTTCTACCTATATATGTGAACAAACTTTTTCAATACTAAATAATAATAAAACAAAAAATCGAAACCGCCTTGCAAATGAAAGTTTGTTTTAATTAAATTTGAGCCAAATAAAAAATAGATTGTAAGCACTATGCAGTGCCGTACCTCAAATTAATAAATTATTTTTCCATTTTAATAATTTTTTAACAATTCTTTATTGTCTTTAATAACTTATACTTCTGGCGGCCCGCCATCAGTTCATGATTTGTCCGAGTGGCCCCTATTCTTAATAAGTCTGTGCATCCCTGGTCGGGAGCCTCTAGACCACGAGCACCTGAGGGGGTCGGCTCAACTAGAGGACGTCTCTGAGACTCGGACCTCAGCTCTAGTTAGCCGTTGTCGTTGGGGATGGAATTCGAGTAGTTGAATTCGATCTATTTTAGACGAAATATGTGCACTGATTATTAGTTGAAAATGTGACATTGACATTTCGCATTCGCAAACTATTAGAATTCGATATTGGTTCATTCAACTATTCGAATTCTATATCGGTTCGTACTAATGGTACTGTACCCAGAGAACGAACCATAATGTCAAGATGTTTTGTATGCAAATTTGAACAGCGCCACAACGGACATAACGGGAATCAAAAATCTTCCATACAAAACATTTTTACTCGAATTCGAATAGTTTGAGAGTGCGACATGTCATTGTCAAACGTGTACTGATTTTTAGTTCTCGTTACGTACGCTGTGGCGCTGCTGTTCTAGTTTCCATATTAAATTTGACAATGACATTTTGCACTCGCAAACGACTTTGGTTCGTGCTAAGAGTACTGACCATTATGCTACGGCGGCCCTGATGGCCGCGTCAAATTCTTTCAAATGTTTAATACCTGTAAAGGTATTAATTTACATTGTGGGTTACATACAATTCGAAGAGATAGCGCTGCCTTGCAGCTTACGAAACACTAGAAAGAATTCGACACAGCCATCAGGCCGCACCGCGGTAGCATTAACTGGTCCGAAACATCAAGAAAATTAAAATAAAATGTAATAAAAGCACTTTCGTACCCGTTCAAAGAGTATTTTATAAATAATTCAGGTTCACTCAATACATCTCGAAGAGCTGGATGGCGCAAGTGGTAAGCACGTTCGGCTGCGATCGTTGAAGCTAAGCAACTTTCGCAATGGTCGGTCATTAGATGGGTGACCAAAAATTTACTATCTCGAGCTCCTCCGTGCTTCGGAAGGCACGTTAGGCAGTTGGTCTCGGCTGCATCTGCAGTCGTTAGCACCCACCAATCCACACTGCACCCATTCTTCTCAACGGCTAAAATATATCCTGGATAGGTAGTATGAAAAAATATTCTAAAGCTTTCATTAAGTGAATTTTAATAAAGTATAATTTCATTTCATTAAAAAACTAAGTGTATGGTATCATGATCATCATCATCAACCTCTTAAAGTCCCCACTGCTGGGGCACAGGCCTTCCCTTTGGATGGAATAAGGAGATTGTGCCAAGACCCACCACACGGGCCCAGTGCGGATTGGCGGGTGCTAACGACTGCAGATGCAACCGGGACCAACGGCTTAACGTGCCTTCCGAAGCACGGAGGAACTCGAGATAGAAATTTTTGGTCACCCATCCAATGACCGACCACTGCGAAAGTTGCTTAACTACAACGATCGCAGCCGAACGCGCTAACCACCTGCGCCATCGAGCTCCTCTGAAAAGAATGGTAAAGTTCATTTAAAAAAGGTGAATTTGCAATGATCTTCTAGTTTTCCTGTGCCCTACATATGAGAGAAAGATTAAAACCAAATGAATTTGTGACAACTCACCGAGCAAGCAATAGTTGTCGCCCATCTCTTCGGTAGACACGTACGCCTTGGACCTAATCACGGTGTAGATTCCACCCACTGGAAAAAAAATGTTTTAAGCATTTTACTTCTAGATGTTCAAATCTAAAGAAATATGTACTAGAAACAAAACGGGTTGCACTCCGGGAGTGCCAGCTGAACTGAAAACTTGAATATTAACGTTGTGCATTTTTGATATTTTGGAATGGTTAGGGAATAATTTTGCACGAATTGCTTTAATTATCAGTATAAAAGTACTCTCATATATGTGGTAGAATACAATATTTATTTATTGCGCTATCGTACACAAACGTGACAATTTATATTACATTAAAAAGTTTATCTCTCAGAAATTCAACTTACATGAATCACATTTAAGCGCACCTAGCGACATCTATTGTAAAAAATGCATATTCTTCGCAATAAAGCCGTCACCTGGACGTTCTAATTATAGACTTATTATTATAATACGATAAAATTAAATATTACTATGTTTCGTCCAGTATATTGAAAGTCAACAACCTTTCCAATTTTATTGTTTTCGTCTTACGAATTTCCGATTAGGCCACGTGTCCTGACGCGATCAGGCCACGTGTCCTGACGCAAGTTTAACAATTTTTACCCATTACAAAAAAAGTGGACAACGCCGCTAAAGAAGTTTTCACTTCAAAAATCCACGTGGACCAGGCAACAGACGGGTCTCGAACCCGCACCCTCCGCTTCCGGGCGGATGCACTGACCATTATGCTACCGTTGTCCCTAAAAGATAGCGAAGGGTGCGAGTTCGAGTCCCGTCTGTTGCCTGGTCAACTTCATCAGCCTATTATAGTACACGCCACGAAAGATGAGACTTGACGAGCGCCGTGCTGCGCCTCCCACTCCCACACTCTTACCGCCACCCCAATGGCACCCGGTCCCTTCCCCCCTCAGATCTAGGGTTGCCAGGTCACCAAACCTACGCGGCAGAATAAATGGGAATCCCGCTATTTCGCACTAAGCAGCTTAGAGGGTATTCGCAGGGTTTTTTAGAAGATATTATGCCGTAAATGGCCCGTAAGGGATCCTCAGTGGGCAGCCACTGTGGGGGCCCGTAAAGCTTGCGGGAGCCAGGTGTGAGGTCCGTTCGGCGGTGTGCCTCTTATAGCCGCCGTCATCTGTTAATAGGGGGTTCGCCTGCGTCACAAAAAAAGGTCGCCATACCTAATAGCCTAGTACCTAACAGACCAGCCAGTTTGACAAAAAATATTGTTCAAAAGCGTCCGACAGTCAACTGCCTTGCGCTGAGCGTGGCCGAGCCCACGCTCAGCGCTCGCTGGTTTGCGAAATGCAAAAAGCCTAACAAAAGTCCGATAAAACGGTTACGCATTCAAAAAGCCTAACTATTATCAGGACACTTGGCAAAGCTACTCAGACCTCATACCGCTTACCCCTCGTTGACACCAAGAAACGTGTCGGTCATAAATTAGTTTTGTATAAAACTTGTGGAATACTTGTTGTGGCTGTTTAAAACCTTATTTCGTTTACACTGCATAGACAACTAGTATCTTGTCAATTATTAATCACTCATTTTCAACCCGTTCGATTCACCCCTGGAGGTCTACTCTGTTTCTCCGAAACGAACTTTCGATAACGAAGTGCAAACGAAATTTAATTTCGTCAATTTAAGTTTATACTTAATTTGAACGATAAACTATCAAATTGAAGCTTTCTTTGAGTAGGCTTAGAAAATCTACACCTCAATCTATATTCCGACGACGAATATTATTATAATTATAAACGAACCAGAAACATAGTAAGAAAAGTGCGAAGATTCGATCGAAATTTCGTTTTACGTTGAATTAGAGTAAGCCTCCTGATTCGTTGGTAATTCGTTATCTCATAGTACTCAATCGTGCACTGTTAACAAATTCATTTCTCATGCAGATACAGTGTTTAGTTTTACCTCAAATCACTTGTTCTTTACCTCCTATTACTATTCAAAGAGACGTTCTGCAATCCTTACAGCTAGCAGATAACATACAATTAACAGATTCTACATTTTTCCAAAGCTGGCCTATTGATATGTTGATTGGTGCTGATGACATCAGCACAAAAACAGATTGTGTTTTTGAACATTCTTACAGAATAAAAAGTTAGGCTAGATCATAATATCAGAAACGATTTATTCTAATAACATGAAAAGCGATAATTCGGTGCTGTGTAATTTTAGCCAGTCTGTTGATTCACAGTTAAAGACTGTTTTGGGAGCTAGAAGAGATTCCCAAACCAACATAGGTTTGGGAATCTCCAATAATCAATTGGGTTGTCTATTCTGGGAGGGGCGGACCTGGCCGACCTGTGGGGTTCTCAAAAAACTAAAGTTGGTGCTGTGTAATTTTAGCCAGTCTGTTAATTCACAGATAACAATGTTTTGGGAGCTAGAAGAAATTCCCAAACCAACATAGGTTTGGGAATCTTCAATAATCAATTGGTTTGTCTATTCTGGGAGGGGCGGACCTGGCCGACCTGTGGGGTTCCCAAAAAACTAAAGTTGACGCGGACGAAGTGACGTCGGGGGCGAACGCTAGATTACAATATAACAATGCGACCGACATTCTCAATAACCGGTACAGCAAGTCTTAAGACAAACACAACTTCACGCTCAGCACACGCATACAATGGAACAAGATCTCTGGATAAAGTTACAAGAACATCTTGTAGTTGCTCTCTTGAAGTAAGTACTATAAGATTCCAGGTGGGAATCTTGGAAGGCGCAACTCTATCAAAGAAAATGATCAATTTTGATTATATTTTATGTTATATTTTCATACGATTATCACAATACAATTATATGATCTGTTATTATCTCGACGCCCGTTTTCAATCTGCCATCCTTCAAAACGAGACAAAGGATACTCGAATTCTCTATATCAAATTAAAGCCTTTTTTATTCTAAATTTGCTTAGATTAAAACAAAAAGGGAAGATACGGCACTCGCGGCTCAAGTGTACCGCTTAAATTATGGTGCATGACCACAAGTCGTTTTAGTCACAATTGGCCATTCAAACACGCTGCATGTGCATGTCAATAGAACAATATTACAAATATTCTGTGTTATAAAGATAAAACATTGCCTTCGATGATTTTATAAAGAAAATAACACAAATAGTTCAAAATCAAATAACAAATGCCTCGGCAACACTTTTCGTTCGTAAAACTGTAAAAAGATTTTTATTCAAAAAAAATCACGGTTTGTTGTGAATGTCATTTACGTAATCGCCATTTTGTTATCAAGAAAAGGACAACAATTTGGCTCAGTTGTGCGGACTCGGACGCAGACTCGCCGTTTCGCTCGCACTGCGTTTAAGCGCACAGTTCTGTCTCGCTCGCTCGATTGAATGTTTATTTACAGAAGTGTGCGTGTGTGAGAGTTATTTATGTATTTGAGGCGGACCATATTTCATTTGATGCTAGTATGAGCGTGCCAATCTTCCCTTTTTGTTTCGTACGTACTAGTTTCAATGATTTGTAAGCTATCCACATAAATTATATCTCAAAAAAAAGTACAATAACTGTACATGTTTTTAAAAAGCTTTGAACAAAAGAAACACCCTCGGTATATTTTATAAAGCCTTATTGTATGTTCTCAATATAGTTTTTATCAGAGTACTGTAAGACGTACCTTTGTTAGCCACCTCCCAGGCTGTTTCGAAGGTCTCTCTATTCTCGTCGCAGGCTTCCTGACCTCGGTTCATCAAGGATAGTAGGTGGTCAGTAGAATCTGCGGCGAGGTCCCGCCGCAGTTATACTTTTTTTTTGGCCACACCAGCCACCAGCGACGTGAGGATCGTCGGTGTGCAATTTGCTTCTACACGCCACTTTTAAAGGACTCGGTGTAGTAGAAACACGTGCGCGTGGCTCCACAAAGGAGGAAGTACTCAATATATTTGTTTGTGAGCGTAATGGAAGACATACCTTTATTAGCCACCTCCCAGGCAGTCTCGAAGGTCCACCTAATCTCGTCGCTGGCTACCTGACCTCGGTCCATGAAGGAGAGCAGGTCGTGAGTTGAGTCTGCTGCGATGTCCTGTCGCAGTTATACCTGCCACACCAGCCATCCTCTCGTTATCGGCGTGCAATTTTCTTCTACACGCCTCTTTTAAAGGACTCCGGGTAGTAGGAACACGTGCGCGTGTCTCCACAAAGGAGGAAGTACTCAATATATTTTTTGTGAGCGTAATGGAAGAGTTACCTTTATTTGCCACTTCCCAGGCAGTCTCGAAGGTCCACCTATTCTCGTCACTGGCTGCCTGACCTCGGTCCATGAAGGAGAGCAGGTCGTGAGTGGAGTCGGCGCGGTAGAACCGCCGCGAGCTCCTGTCGCGCGACATTGTGCCCTACAAGTAAAGAAATAGGGTTAAAGTTTGATCGTCAATGTCCAAACCATTGGGGTATAGAACCACAGAATTCCCTGTAAACGGAATTCATCATGATTAGACTAAATTTTACTAGAAAACATTCCACGCGGACCAGGCAGCAGACGCATTCTAACCCGCACCCTCATCCGCCCGGATTGGGCTTATGCACCGTGGCCCTGATGGCCGTGTCGAATTTCTCTAGTGTTTCTAACCGTCGCTGCACACAGGCCACACGCCACAGGCACAAACGCTGTCACGAGAAGCTAGAAGCAGCTACTAAAGTGGCTGAAGCGCGCGACAGCGGCCGACTAAGGTAAGGGAGAGAGGGGTGGGGAATCGCGCGACGTGTGGCGGCGTTTTGTATCGGCACATTAAGTGGCCGATGCGGGCCACAAGAAGCGAGAAAAGACGATTTGTAGCGTGTGGCGGCCACCGGCGTACCGTGTGTGGCGAGTTCATATAAAGTGTATGAAAACTACAAGAAATATGCCGGTGGTGGCGTTTTGTGGTTGTGGTCGGTGGCCCGTGTGCGGCGACACTTAGGCTGCAAGGCAGCGCCATCTCTTCACATTGTAGGTAACCCACAATGTCAAATGAAATACCTTTACAAGCATTAAACATTTTAAAGAAGAAATAGCAATCGTAGTTTATTTTTAAGCATTTAACTGCTAGATATTTAAATGTAAAGAAAATTTTACTGATCCGCGTGGAATTTTTACTAGTAAAATTTTCTTTAATTAAAACCTCTAGCATTTAAATGCTTAAAAATTAAAATATAGTTTATTATAATTTTATTTTGACTGCATAAAACTATTAACGTTGAAGCGGCGAGGAATAATTAACGCGAGCTCCTGTCGTGCGACATTGTGGTCGGCTGATAAAGAAATAAGGTTAAAATTTGATTGACAACAGCGCTTATTAATGTTCCCATTACAGAACAATAGGTCCTCAGGACTTCAATATGTATTCTATGCTGATCTACAGCATAAACCTATAATGTTCCCACTGCTGGGGTTGAGCGGTACAGGCCTTCCCAGAATCCGAGCAGCTAACTTAGCCCGAATTACTTTTCCGATGAGACAAGTAGCCATACACGAATCACGCTCGCTAACAACAAGTTTTTTTATTAGATGGGTTTATTAGGGATATTTTCCCGCAGTAAAACGTAGCCTATGTGTTAATCCAGGGTGTCAGCTAAGACTTTACCAATTTTTTTTCGCCCCAGCTGTTTAGATGTGCAGAAGTAACAAACATATACACTCACACACTCATAACTTTCGCCTTTATAAGTAATATTAGTGTGTTTGTGGTGAAGTGTAAATGACGTCTTCTACGTGTTGATAACACTTCCCCAAAACGATTAGGTATCTTGGTCCTACGCACGTAGTTAACGTTTAGCAAGTAGTATATAAGATATACGATATACGAGGAGCTCGATGGCGCAGGTGGTTAGCGCTTTCGGCTGCGATCGTTGTAGTTAAGCAACTTTCGCAGTGGTCAGTCATTGGATGGGTGACCAAAAATTTCAATCTCGAGTTCCTCCGTGCTACGGAGGGCACGTTAAGCCGTTGGTCCCGGTTACATCTGAAATCGTTTGCACCCGCCAATCCGCACTGGGCCCGCGTGGTGGATCATGGCCCATTCTCAATATTCCATCCATAGGGAAGGCCTGTGCCCCAGCAGTGGGGGCATAAAGAGGCTGATGATGATGATGATATTGGATAAGTTAATAAATTGTTGATTCCACACTGAACGCTCGCCGTAATTTCTCCAATGAATCACCCATACCCCATCACCACCTTCTTAAAAAACCCATGAAAAAGACGATTAATAAATCAGCTTCAAAACTGCGTAAAAAGTTTTTGCTCTAAATTTAACATTTATTTTTAGCTACTAGTCCAGGATCCAAACCTACATTGACCTTCACCAAGCTGATAATAGAATGAAACATATTTTATCATGAATTTAGTATGTTAGAAAATATATTAAAAATAGATTGCCTAAAAAAACCGCGGACGGACTATTTTTAATTAATTAAAAAAAAAATATTACATGTTGCAACATCAGAGTGAACAGGCATCTTCTAGGCAGACGTGTACTATTCTAGGCCTCATCATCGCTTTCCATCAGGTGAGATTGTGGTCAAACGCATTGCCTATTTTGCATAAAAAAAATCAAGTTAAAAAGAAAATGTTGTCCTGACTTACAGTATAAAACGTATAAAATGCGCAGCCGTTGGGGTTTCTATTATTTACCTGGGCGAACTACTGGGTTACCAGGGGGCCAATCGCCTAACGGAAATGCTTTGGGAAACGCTAACGCTTACGATTTTATATTGTTATTTCTAGCCGCCTGAGGTTTTCGAATACCTCACGCTCATTTTTTTTAATATTGTTATTACCAATGCAAAAGAAAAAGAAAGAGCGCGAGGCATTTGAATACCTCAGGCGGCTAGAAATAACAAAATAAAATCATAAACGTTAGCGTTTTCCAAAGCATTTCCGTTAGGCGATTGGCCCCCAGGTATAAACAGGTATGTCGATGCAAGTTACGTTACCCAACGACTGCACATCCGAAAAGTTTTATACTTTAAGTCAAAACAACATTTTCTTATTATCTTGATTTTGCAACATTTAATTAAAAATATATTTTTTTAAACAATTAAAAAATATAGTTTGTCCGGGATCTTTTTGAGCAACTCATTTTTAATATATTTTCTCATATACTGAATTCATGAAAAAATATGTTTCAATCTATTATCATCTCAGTGAAGATCGATCTAGGTTCGGATCTTCTGCTATAAAAACATTTTGCTAAAAACATTTATTTTAGGGACCATCAAAATTTAAAATGCTAGTACCTGGGTTCCGAACCTGGGGGTAATTACCCCTCCGGGGGTAAATCAGCCATACTTCGGGGGTAACAAAGAACCTAATTATTTGGTCAAATCTAAATAATAAGAAAATACTATATAATAATACAACTAAATAGAGCATGCGCTCCTTCTTGCTAGCGAGCCCGCGGGGTGCAGAGTATGGGAAGCGGGGCGAGATTTTCTCCTGATGATGACATTATTAGTGACGAAGATGTAGCGGCCAAATTGGAATTTCTTTAGATGATAACATTTTAAAGTCGGGGTAAAATCTGTTTTCCTAAAAGGTTACAGGGGTAGCAGTATTGGAAAGGTTAGGAAACACTGTGCTAGTACATAGCGAAAATGCCTTAAAACGAACGTTAAACATTCTATTAGCATAATCGATACAATATTAGCTTGCGGCGCGGCCGCATCGTCGGTCGTCATTATAGCAAACAAACAAATCATTATTGCTTTTGGAAGAAATCCAATGTCGTTTCACGTGGCCACAGATAACGACCGGCATATAAAATACAATGTCCGTATCTACTTCGTATGCGTGGAGTTAGTAAGAAATAAAGGTTCACTGCTCGTTCCCCGTAAGTGATAGCGTGATAATATGTAGCCTATATGTTGACCCGACTTCTTAATAATATTCGTGCCAAATTTGAAGTAAATCCATGCAGTACTTTTTGAGTTTATCCCGGACATACATACAGACAAAAATTTAAAAAAAAATATTTTTAACTTCGGTATCAATTGTAGATCACACCCCAAGTATTCCTTTAAAAAAATATTCAATGTACAGTTATGACTTTCCTACCATTTTATTATATGTATAGATTTAAAAACAGTACGGACGTTTGTACAAACAAAAAGTATTTAGGTATGCAGATTTTGTAAGACAATGGTGTCGATTTAGCACGGTTCTCTAAACTTAAAACTAAATTTATCATTAGTTTCTCCTATTCATTTTATAATATAGAAAATGACAAGGATACACTGGTGTCAATTCTGGCGTGATTCTCTAAACTTAAAACTAAATTTAAGGTCAGTCTCACCTTTTCATTCTGTATAGAGAAGGACAAGCATGCACTGTTGTCAAATTTAAGTTTAGCTTTAGATAATCACACCAGAATCGACATCACTGTTGTCAAATTTAAGTTTAGGTTCAGAGAATTTATGCCAGAATCGGCACCGTTATGTTCATAAACTCATGTAAATATCGACCAACATCCTTTTTTATTTTGAATGAATGAATGAAATACTCTTTATTGCACAAAATACAAAAAACATAAAACACAGGAACGTAAACAAAAAAGCAATCTCTACAAGGCATTTTATCAATGCCAATTTTTTTTAAATATTTTTAGTTACTAAGTACATAGTCTTTAACTTATAAAGTAGGTAATAGTAACACATTCTTAGGCATTAGGGTTTTTCGGACTTAGTCCCACTGAGCCCTAGCTAGATTATAAAATAACCTGTGTTAAGGGCAACAGTCCAGTTCCCTCGACATATCCTATAGAAAGTACACAATCGTACTACATTATATGCACATATGTACTCTAAGTGTCGCCGCACACAGGCCACACGCCACAAACGCCGCCACTAGAAAGAAGCGGCTACTAAAGTGGCTGAAACGTGCGACAGCGGCCGACTAAGGCATGGGAGAGAGGAATGGGGAATCGCGCGAGTGACGTGTGGCGGCGTTTTGTATCGGCGCATTAAGTGGCCGGTGCGGGCCACAAGAAGCGAGCAACAACGATTTGTAGCGTGGGCGGCCACCGGCGTACAGTGTGTGGCGAGTCCATATAAAATGTATGAAAACTACAAGAAATATGCCGGTGGCGGCGTTTTGTGGTTGTGGTCGGTGGCCCGTGTGCGGCGACACTTAGACCAAATAATAATATAAGCCGTATTTCTAAATGTGTTTTTAGCTGTAAACAAAATTTGTGGTTGAATGGTGAAAAATTTATTAGTTACCTATATATCGTGTTTTTTTTTATATACATAGGTAAGTACTTTAATTACGATTTTTCTTTTGGCAAGCAACTTTCGCAGTGGTCGGTCCTTGGATGAGTGACCAAAAATTTACTAGCTCCATGCTTCAGCCGTTAGCACC